ACAAGAAATGTATCACGTCACGACGACCGTCCTGTGAGTATATCGATAACATGATGACAGGAGGCAAACCTACAAGAAGGACTGATTGATGATGTCTCCGACGAGGCGGAATTCAATGTCATTTGATTGGTCAGCCGGCCACACCAATCTACCCGAAAAGGATCAATTTTCGAGGTGGGGTGCGTTGATGACCCCCCGAGGACGTTCAAAACAGCCACTTCACATTGGCCTTCCCCCACCACCCTTCTTTTTGAGCAGGTCCCCTTACACACGCGAGAAGACCATGCCCAAACCGGTGAGGAATGTATATTGCGATTCATAAAGTGGGTCGGGGTCTTTGCGATGATGCTCGTGTTGCTTTATCGTGTCGCGATTGTTGTATTCACAACAACTGACGTCTGTTTATCGTGTCGCGATTGTTGCATTCACAATAAATAAATGACGTCAGTCTCTATCATTCATTATCGTTTTGGCCACCACCCCATATAGTCTACAGTAAGTAGTAGTGAGCATATCACGCGGATCTCGTACAACCTAGCGCCATGGAGAGTGCCACCCACACAAACAAGTTTCGCTGGCCGTGTTGTTCATGGTGTGCGGGCGTCCGCCAAGCAAAGAAATTTGGCCAACGCTACATTCAATATTCAAGCGAGTAGTCCCGACTTCGGCTGGGATCGGTGCTTTCAACATGGTACCACTCGAGCGCACCACGATCCATCCTGCCGTTCCGGGACTCGCGTTGTATGGGTTTCACAAAATATTGCAAGAGGAAACAATGTAAAGTAGTGGGCCATGTGCGTCGCAATGTTCTGTCGTCTTCTACAGGTAGTAGGCCATTGACCCCCTGGTGATGATGAAGGGTCTGCGCTGATGACCCTTGCTTTGTTGCGACTCTGATGGGTGAAAAGTTGCAGCGAAACTATAATTGACTGTTGAGTGAGTCTCTCGCGCTCTCTCTTCAAACAATAGGGTCCGAAGCTCTTGAATGACCTCGTACGGGAGGATGCGAAGGCAGTAGGGGAGGAAGTTGCAAAAATGTGGCAGGAATATCAGTTGGTCACTGTACGACACATGATGACAAGTTGCTAACTCCCATCATGGACTCTGATCTGTTGAAGAGATGGATTCGTTGTGGCTTGCGGAAGAAAAGAAAAAAATGGAAATGGCAGGACGGTTGGTGAAGACAACATTTTCGAAGCTGTGGGGCCAGGAAAGCTACTCGCATGCGTGCACAACTCTAACCGTCGGTGGGAAACGGATTCCGCCAGAGCCACTGTCAGAGGGAGAACGTTTGGGCGTTCGATTTCATTGAATGAATCGTTCCATGACAGACTCTTCAGCTGACAGAACAGAAGCAAATGCGAGTAAAATATCGAACCGCCAAAGGACTGTGTTATATATGCAGAATGTTTGTGGTACTTGGATATGAGTCTGATCTGTGCATCCTCTGTGGGGGATACGCGTATTGGAAGTATGGGTGTGAGGGTATGTATGCGGTTGTGGTCCAAGTGCGGGGCCCCCGGGAGCACACAGCTGTGTGCTCCCGGCACTTGCCTGAGGGGCTT